AAGAAGAAGAGAAGAAGAAGAAAAGAAGAAGAAGAAGAAGAAGAGAAGAAGAAGAAGAAGAAGAAGAAGAAGAAGAAGAAGAAGAAGAAGAAAGAGAAGAAGAGAGAAGAAGAAGAAGAGAAGAAGAGAAGAAGAAAGAAGAAAGAAGAAGAAGAAGAAGAAGAAGAAGAAGAAGAAGAAGAAGAAGAAGAAGAAGAAGAAGAAGAAGAAGAAGAAGAAGAAGAAGAAGAAGAAGAAGAAATACTTTACTTATCCCTCAAAGGGAGATTAAATCGCCATGAAGATAGTGAAGGAAATCCGGTTCAAGATTCAACACGTTTATCATATCCACAATATCTACAGCGGAGTTGTTGACAAGAGAAGTCTTACGTTAAAAATGAAAATGAAAAGTGCTAGAGAATGGTGCAAGTGACTCAATGCGCAAGTAAAGGCAGAAATAAGGAACTATATACATTCAAAATATAATTTAATAAAACAGAATGTGAATTTAAATACTGTGCAGTTAAATAAAACACCACTTATTGTAAATGAAGCCATCCAAACTATCTAAAACCTTCAAGAATGGACTGAGTACAATGCTTAATTTCCCAAAATAGAGTTGGACATTTAAAATTGGAAAGATTATGAAATGTGAAATAATTAATAACTTAGATATCCATATTAATATTAAATAAATATTTGGCGAATTTAAAAGAAAATGTCAATACTGATGCTCAACATACCTGAGCACAACAATGCTTGTTTCTCTCAAATATAGTTAGAAGTGTAACATTTGAAAGATTTTGAAAGCAGGTAGAGATCAGCAAACTAGTGATTGGAGGCAAAAACGATATATTGATGAACTAAATATCAACTTGACAATGTTAACCTTTATCTAACTTTCTCAGTCTTTTTTAACTGATCATCACATGAAAACCTTACATTATTATGTATTAGTTGATTTCCAAATAAATACTTAATAATACATTTAAATGTGAAAGTAATTATTTGAGTTTACACATAATCATTCATAATGAAACATAATTCAAATGGAAGTGCAGCTGTAAACCGGATATGTCAGATACAAGTCACATTGCATGCATTATTATGCAATTGATGTTGTATCAACTCAATGCCTGTAAATTACATTATTATTTTAGTAAGAGTCATTGGTATGTCAAAATGTGCTGTTTTTAGTGAGGAACCTGTTTTCCCCTTCACCCTCGCTTCCATATCAAGAGAAAAAGCTTTTTTTATATAACTCCTTTGTATTTCTAAAATGGTACCATGATACAGCCTGTGGGAACCTAGAGAAAGATATTTAGCGAAACTGTATGGTGATGGATTTCTGGGTGTGTTTCACATGCGTTACATAAACACAGGTAGGGTGTGGTGCTTTTTCTTCAGTGAAAACAGGTGTGTGTCTATAGGTCACAGAACCGGGAAATGAGCATGCTAATGATGTCACAGTGTTTCCCACAGATATGAAATATACTTGGGCGGGTGGTGGCAAGGAGGGGGGGGGGGGGTGCGCGAAAAAAAGAAAAAGTTTTAACAACATTATTTATTGACTTTTCATTCCGGTATAATCATTTTGCGCAAAGATGGCACTGTTTGTCAGAGCACTTCATCCTTCTGGGATTTCATGAAGAACAGCTCCAACGCCTGTGTGTATGGGAATGCCTCTGGTGCTGGTCCATTAACTGCCAGTGTTTCCCACAGATCTGAAATATACTTTGGGGGGTGGTGGTAGCGGGGGGGGGTTGAGGTGACGTGCAACAACATTAACCTTTCTGTTGGTCGCTTGTTAGCAGACCCTTCACGCGATGGCAGAGCGAACAGGTACAGGCAGGGTCCATAATGATAGCCCTATAGTTTAAATCTACTACCCACACATGAACACATGGAAATGGGTTACTATTTTTAAAAAAATTGTTATTTATTAATGTATTTAGGAACCTATCCATGTGATTTTTAGTGGGGGTCGACCTCAAATCCTCTAGGGGGGTCCAGGGGCATGCCCCCCCGGTAAGATTTTATTTTTTATTTTGGAGTTAAATGCATCAATCTGGTGCATTTTGAGGGGAAAATAAAGAGACTAGATCTATGGAAACACCTATATTTAACAGAACTGTATACATTTCAATAATCATAAAATCATGGCCATAACCAATAACATACCATTTCCAATATGAAAAAAACACTGAAACTTGTTAATTTATCTTTGGTTCATTTATAGTTGTGAGTGTGTCTGAGCTCCTGAATCAGCCTCTCCTGTCTCCCTCCTCTCCCCCCCTCCTCTTTGAGGCAGCAGCAAAGACTAGTTTTCTCTCAACAAGTTTTAAAAGTGTATCTTACCTTTTTTCACCTAGTTAACTTTTTATTTATTTATTCATGCATATTTTACTAATCACATTACATTTCATTTAGCTGACGCTTTTATCCAAAGCGACTTATAATGACCGATTACAGGGACATTCTCCCTGGAGTAACTAAGGGCTAAGTGCCTTACTCAAGGGCACACTAGTGGTGGTGTTCCTGGCGGGATTTGAACTCACAGCCTTCCGATCTTCAGCCCACCTCACTCTCCATTAGACCAATCACTACCCTCTCAAAAGGAAATATGTGTTTACATAAATGGTGACCACACCGTTTGAGACCCACTGAGAACTTAGACTAAGTTAACTATCTAAACACTCAGAGAGTCCTTTACCTCACCTGAGCTGAGGTTATCCCGAGCTTGAATGACACACAGAGACCAATCAAGGGCTTTGATTTATGATCTGTATGACAGTGGCCATGTTGGCAGGCCACATCATGTGGACAGCCAGTCACCCTGTGTGAGGCAGGCCACTTAACAGGCCAGAAGGAGGCGAGATCAGAGCAAGGGAGCGAGGGATCATTGTCTACAAGTTAATCGATCGCAGATGGCGTCGTGGTCACGGACGAATAAAAAATGTTTTTTATAAAAAATAAAAAAAATAAAAAATGGGTCGCGAAATATACTTGGGCGGCCGTTAATATACCTGGGCGGGCCGCCCAGGTATATTTAAAAAAAAAAGTGTTAAAGTGAAGGTGGGAAATATCTTCATCAATTTTTGCCAGTGTATTTTAAAGCTGTCACATAGCCCAAAATAAATGACCAAATGAATTGCCGGAAAAGTAAGAAAACATTTAGTGTTTGGGTGAATAACACTGTAAAGATACGCACATTTTTGATTTTGTTTTACCTCTGTAAAGACACGTTACGTCTTCTTGCTGATTATAGAGAACGAGTTTTTCCATTCAGAGTTGCCAGATAAAAAACCGGTTCCTTATGTTTCCTCTGTTCCTGCTAACTATATGCATGAGCAGTACAAAGACACCGTGCACGCACAGAGACACACACACAGACACACACATTGTTTATAGACACAGAGGGACACACCCTGCCTGTTATGGTGCCAGAATGTAGTTTGTCACAACAAACATTATTTTCATTTTATTCAACGCTATATACTGTGTGTTTTTTGTAAAATATTTCCGAAATACTAAATTATGACTTTTTTCCACATACTATCAGGACTTTTTTTCAAAATGTTAAATTATATATACTATGACCGAGTAGCAGAAAATGGAAATACTCAAGTAAAGTATTTTGAGTAATTCATTGGGTAAATGTGCTCTGTTACAACTGCCTTTAGCGTACAGTCTCTGTCTTTAGAGGGTGAGTGGTATAAGAAGAGTCGGTCATATTTTCTTTCCTATCATTCAGCAGTTTTAGTATATCCCAAAACGTCTAAAGAGTTAGAGATGTTGTCAAACAGGTGAAGCAATGACATTTACTGTAACAGCATTCAGTTTTTCTCAGCAATCCCTCCAGTCATGTCGGGACACTGTGTGCGAAAGTGAAAAGGCTTCACAGTAGTTGAAA